GTTCCGAGGTCTCCATCTGAGATTCGGAGTTTCCTGGGATTAGCCGGCTACTATCGGAGATTCATCCAGGATTTCTCCAAGATAGCCTTACCCTTGACCAGGCTAACGAGGAAGGTCGTGGTCTTTCGTTGGGGGCCTGAGCAGCAGGCTGCATTCGAGACACTGAGACAGAGATTGTGCGAGGCGCCAATCTTAGCCCTGCCAGAGGGCATGGAGGATCTCGTCGTGTACTGTGATGCGTCCATCTCGGGCTTGGGCGCAGTATTGATGCAGAGAGGGCATGTTATTGCTTACGCTTCGAGGCAGCTGAAGCCTCACGAGGCGAACTACCCGACGCATGATTTGGAGCTGGGGGCTGTTGTATTCGCCCTCAAGATTTGGCGTCATTACCTCTATGGGGTTCGTTGTACGATTTACACGGACCACAAGAGCTTGAGGTACCTCATGGATCAGCCGAATCTAAACATGAGGCAGCGTCGGTGGTTGGACGTGGTGAAGGATTACGATTACGAGATCCTTTACCACCCGGGGAAGGCCAATGTGGTGGCCGATGCGCTTAGCCGCAAGGCGGCGCCGATCAGGGATATCTGTCTGAGGATGACAGTGGTGACTCCGCTGTTGGAGCAGATTCGGGAGGCCCAGCAGGAGGCCGTGAAGGAAGAACATCGGAAGAGCGAGCGGATTGTAGGGCAGGTTTCCTCCTTCGATTATGATAGCCGAGGGTTATTGACTCTTCACCATAGGGTGTGGGTCCCTTATCATGGAGGCGTGCGCCAGATCCTGATGGAGGAGGCACACAAATCCAGATTTTCTATCCATCCTGGAGCGACGAAGATGTATAGAGACCTTCGTTCTGATTATTGGTGGCCCTGCATGAAGCGGGACGTAGCATGGTACGTGGAGCGGTGCTTGACCTGCAGGAAGGTCAAGGCCGAGCACCAGAGGCCACACGACAAGATGCAGCCGTTGGATATCCCGCTGTGGAAATGGGAGGATATTACGATGGATTTTATCACAAAGCTTCCCAGGACCGCGCGAGGGGTGGATTCGATTTGGGTCATCGTCGATCGATTGACCAAGAGCGCTCATTTTATTCCGATTCAGGAGAGCATCTCGGCCGAGAAGCTGGCCGACATTTATATCAGAGAGGTGGTGGCACGACACGGGGTGCCAGGTATCGGTGATTTCAGACAGAGATGTTCGATTTACTTCCAGGTTTTGGAAGAAGTTTCAAGACGAGCTGGGTACTCGTCTGCATTTTAGCACCGCCTTTCACCCGCAGATGGATGGTCAGAGCGAGCAGACCATCCAGACGCTAGAGGATATGCTGCGGGCATGTGTTTTAGACTTCGGAGGTAGCTGGGATACCTACCTTTCGTTGGCGGAGTTCTCGTATAATAATAGCTATCATGCGAGTATCGATCGACCTCCCTTCGAGATGTTGTACGGGAGGAAGTGCAGGACCCCGATATGCTGGGGCGAGGTTGGCCAGAGGGTCATGGGGAGCACCGATGTAGCGCTCAAGACGACCGAACGGATTCAGCAGGTCAGGAGCAGACTTCAGACTGCGCAGAGCCGACAGAAAAGCTATTCTAACAAGCGCTGATCGGACCTGGAGTTTCAGGTCGGGGATATGGTTCTCCTGAAGGTGTCACCATGGAAGGGCGACATCCGACTCAGCAGTGGTACCCTTAGAGGACATTCAGGTCGATGACAGCCTGAATTATATTGAACGGCCTGTAGCGATCCTCGACTGGAAGTCGAAGGATCTGAGGAACAAGAGGGTGGAGCTCGTGAAGGTGCAGTGGCAGCACCGGAAGGGCTCGGAATGGACTTGGGAGCCGGTGGATGAGATGATGGAGCATTACCCAGAGCTGTTCCAGGACCGATCAGCAGACTTCGAGGACGAAGTCTAAAATAAGTGGGGGGAGATTTGTAGCACCTGGTTCTTGGTACGTATTTTTATTTAAGTATTTTGCATTTTTGGCCTTGGACTCGGCGAGTTGAAGGACCAACTCGCCGAGTAGAAGCGGGATGAGACGTGAGACTTAAGTGATGGACTCGTCGAGTCGGGTCCCGGACTCGACGAGTAGGCTCTGTATGGACTAAACCCTAATCTGAGGGTTTGCACCCTATTTAAACAACCTTATACAGCCTCCATCGCCCCTTTATGCTCCCAAACACCCTCTATAGAAACCCTAGCCGTTGTTGAAGTAATCTAAGCCATTTGGTGGATTTTGGTGTTGATAGTCTTAAGAAGGAAGGAGAAAGGCTTGAGGAAACAAGAGGAGACCAGAAGGGTTCGAGTTTGTGCTTCATCTTCAGTCCTCAGAAGGTATAAAGTTGCTAACTTGCTTGTTCATTTGCTAGATCCCATTTTGTGGAGATTTAGGGCTTTTATAAGCCATTTTAGGTAGCCAACCATGAATGCAAGCATGGTTGGGGACAAGGCTTCGGATCTAGGTCCTTTGAGGGGTCACAAGGCAGAAAGTGGGTGCTTTTACACCTAAGAAAGACTCCATGCAACCCAAGAGCTTGTTTTAGGACCTTTTGGACTCAAAGTCTCATGCATGCACGTAAAGTTTGTAACTTTACGTGCTAGGACAATTGTAGGAGCCTAGATCTATCTTTTGGTCAAGAGTTGTACATCAGAAATCGAGGATTTAGAGTATGGACTTGACCAACTCGGCGAGTCCGTTCTTGGGACTCGACGAGTCCAAGGCTTTGAGTCCCATATCTGTTGAGGGTCAAAAGGACTAAGTGGGGTATTAGAGGGGTTGTAACAAGACAGAAAGAGTGACCCAACGCATTGGACTTAATTTTAGACCTGGAGTTCATGGAACTCGACGAGTGCTAGAACAGACTCGGCGAGTCCAAGGCAATCTTCTTATGGATAAAGATGAACTCGACGAGTTGTTCATACAACTCGGCGGGTCGAAGTCAGGAGTTGTTCATCTGTTGAAGATGAACTCGACGAGTGTTCATCAGACTCGGCGAGTCGGATGAAGGATCAATCGATGTTCATATCGGAGAGGAACTCATCGAGTCGTCGCTAAACTCGACGAGTAGAGTCGTGGATAAGGACGAGTAAAGCGAAGGGACTCGACGAGTTGACGGCCCAACTCGGCGAGTCCGGTCAACTAGAAGTTGACTTTTGACTTGGACTTGATTGGGGGTAAAATGGTCACCTTTACCCTAAGAGTAGATATCAGTTCTAACTGTGTGTTTGTGGGGATTGTAGCCGGAGGATTTCCGGAGCAGCAGCGGACGGAGGTTTCTCGCACAGATTATCAGCAGCTACTCGTACGAGGTGAGTTACCTTCCAGTAGCGGTGGGTCTACGGCCACAATGCCGGCCCAACAGTAGGAGTTGTATGTTAGATGATTGTCTTTGTGATATCATCTAGTTTTGCTACTACCTGATGTGTTATATGCTGGCATGATATGTTATATGTGATAGTAGTAGAGTTCGGTTGTTAGGACCGAAGGGTAGGTCAGACACCCCAGATATGTCTGACAGTATGTGATGATATGTTTATATGCTGGCATGATATGTTATATGTGATAGTGGTAGTAGGAGGGGAATAGTCCCCAAGTTCGGTTGTTAGGACCGAAGGGTAGTTCGGACACCCCATATATGTCTGATAGTATGTTTATGTTATGATATATGTGATAGTAGCAGTAGGGGTGGAATAGTCCCGAGGGTCGGTTGTTAGGACCGATGGGTAGGTCAGCACCCCAGAATGGCTCGACACGGGTAGGTCGGCACCCCAGAATGGCTTGACACGGGTAGGTCGGCACCCCAGAATGGCCGTACCGGGTAGGTCGGCACCCCAGAATGGCCGTATCGGGTAGGTCGGGCACCCCAAAATTGCCCGGCAGTATGTATGCTATGTGATTGTATGGTATGTGGTACGATGGGGGGAACTCACTAAGGTTCGTGCTTACAGTTTACAGTTTTGGTTTCAGGTACCTCTTCAGCGAAGGGGAAGGAGCTGGCGCGGTAGCGGCACATCATACACATTCGCATTGATTTTCCGCACTTAAGATATTCTGGGATTGTAATCTGACATGATGCTATCTTATGACTTGGGTTTTCAGACATGATATATTTTATGTGGTTTTCTTATGAATGCTTTTATAATCAGTTAATTAAAATGAAATTTTTGGACTCGAAATTTGGGATGTTACAGAAATATACAAAACAAACCTGATTATAATTTATAGATAGGCAAAAGGGGTAAAACTGTAAAACCAATGCCCATTTTGCAGCTAATAAGTATAAGTAATAAGTAATAATAAATAACTAGCGGAAGTTTGCCGCGCCTTTGGCGCGGGTTGCAAAGAGGTTTTCAGTTGTAAGGTACATCGACAATGAGCTACAAGGAAAACGATAATACTTTACTATATGTCAAAGTAGTACATTGATATTAATGGCTTTAATTTACTTTTAGATTGACGGATTGGAAAACATGTATGTATATAAAACATAAGGAGTACATAACTTGTTATTTATTTAGATGAGTTTCATACAGTGGTTGGAATAAGTGAGTCATGCAAAAAAGAAAATATACATACTACTTTGATGTCCAGCAGAGAGTCATATGACATGAAAAAAAAGGATGTTACTTTCAACCTAGTTAGCACGTTCTTCATTATCATTTTGTGACCTGTGATTGCATCTTTGATTTCGGCTTGATTTTTCTCATAAGCCTTATTAAAAGGAAGTGTGGTTCTAATATTGAATATGCCCTCATGTCTACTTTAGTTTGCTCTGATTGGCAGTAATTCTGTCAAAGATGAGGTCTGACTTTATGATGGAAGTAACATATGAACGTTATATGGAGGTATGAATTACTATCTCAATTTTTTTTTTGGGAGGACTAAAAATTGAATGATGAATAAAAATATGTTTTCTACTTACTTTGTTTTATTCCAAAAGGGAACAATTTCTATAATATAAGTTGTATAAAGTGTGAGCATGAACCTACTAAAAGGTCTTTTTTTTTATAGTCACATTAACTTCCATAACATTTCTACAGATGCAGAGGATTTGCTTGTTATAGTTCGGATATTACACACGGATATTTGATATACAAAAGCAATTAGAGTTTGGAAGTCATAGTAAGTATTAGGAAACACAAAAGGTGTCATAAAGGAGTTGTCATGGATGACGTTGACGTTTTGGTTGTGACATCGATTCTTCTACATCTATAAGTCAAGAAAAAGAAAGAATCAGTTGTTTTGTTGATGTACGTGTAATGTGAGTAATGTGGTTTACCTGTCTCATTAAATGTTAAAGCCCTTCTAACTTTGGAAGGTTCATGTTTCAATGATGATGTGCTTGTCTTGTCCATTGGGTATGAGGGTAATGAAATGTTTGTGGGAGGTTTTGTCAGAGCTAGAGATTGTTGAACCACATTGTCTTCAACGTCAGTTATCATGAAGCGAATGTTGTCGCGTGGATGTTTTTGTCATACGCACCACCATTTTGATTGGTAAACGTTTAATTTTCTCAGATAGCAATGGCAATGTTTTCCGATGATCAGGATTGTCTTCTGTTATCAATTCATCCGACCGTGCTCCTAACAGCTTTTGTGCAACATTGTCGGATAGTATGACGTTCATAGAGTCGGTCTGGTAAACTATTGTTGCCACAAGTTTGAATCTATAGATATAAATAATTTTAGGTTGTATAAAATTTATAATCATAATAATGGTGTTATGTGGATACAGTAACTTACATTGAACTTGGAGATTTAAGTATTCCATCAGATGGGCAGAACCAATTCTTTCCTTGTTTGAAAGTTGGTGTTTTGCAATCAGGACAGATTACCTGATACCAGGTGTCTGTAAACGTGAAGCCCATCACAGATGTATTGACAATGAATGTCTTTTCCTACAACAGGTTATTTGTGTTATGTTGGTTGCTTAGATAGTGGTTGCTTGATGTGTTAAATAAATCAGATAAATGAAGGTTTGAGTAGGTAGTGCTAGAATGAAACCATACCAGAAGCTTGGAATGGGTTTTCTGATTCATGTCGTGCAATGATATAGTTGGTCCAAATATGGTTTTTGAAGTTTGATTTGTTCTGTGTCTATAAGCAGTCATTAGAACTGATGCAAATAACATTCTTATGTATTAACTTTTATGTATTACCTCTCGATAAGTGCGGTTATGTCTCCGATAGGTGGATTGATGTATACGTGACTCACACATGTTGTTCCTAGTCTCAGTGTACCTGAAAATAAGATTATTGTAATTGTTTTAGATTTTGTTTCTTTACTTATAATTGTTTTATGAGTGTCTATATGTGAAGATGTTTTGGTGGGGATATACCGGCAATAGGTGTAACTTTAACATTTGTTACAGCAAGTACAGCTGGACTGCATGCATTTTCAATAGCAGAACGATTGAACCTTCCAGGTATGTCTGTGCATTCTTTCCATAAGCTGATAGCAATTTCTTCACCACTGGAATTCAAGGGCGTTAGGTATAACAAATGAGAATACAAATGTATTTGAAAAAGTCAGTTGCTTACGAATCGTTTGAGAGGATAAGAAGGGTGAATGGTTGACCGTCTTTCTTGGTGTAGTTCACAAATTTGAGAAATATTCCTAGAAAGTTTGCATAATGAATGGTGTAAAATAGAGTTTGGAGTTATAAATGTGCAATAAATATGTAGATTCAAATATAACTGGTATGAGTTAGTTAAGAAGGTGAGATAAGGTATTAATAGGGGTTAATACCTGGACATAAGTTGACATAGTCGGGTATTTGATTTTTCGATATAAAATAGAACCAATATTTGGGAATGGTGATTGTGTCAAGAATTTCTCTGATAGATGAACCCATACCAACAGCAATCAATATTGGTTTGTCCAGCCAATTTTGGTAAGAATCCGATTCACCGCAACCATATTTAGAAATTGCATAGCACTTTGAGACAGTGAACACAAATTGCACATATCTTTGATCTTTTCGTTGTCCAAGAATCTGAATAGCATCACCCTTAAATGTGGAAAAATATTATGAAACACTTTATTATGTGTATGCAATAAATAAAGTTTAATAACAATGTGTGCAAACTTACATATTTGTCGACAGCCAAAAACCAAGTCTCATAAGTCCGGTATTCTGGTGTCCAGAAACGTAAGATTCGTACGTGTAGTTCTGTTCCAGGAGATGCATAGCCTAATTCTGAAATTGTTGTTATATTCTAAGACATGGTTCTAACCTCACAGTGAAATTACATAGAAATGTTAATATATTTGGAAATGATAACTACTTGTGGTTTGGAATTGTTAAATGACTAAAACTAATACAATGGATGTCCCTCATCTAAAAGTGAAATAGAAATAAATGTTAGTAATTCTTAGAAGAAGCGATAAATGTGTGTGTTTTTGGGCAGTTATTAAAAGAGTCAAATAAAGGAAATGGCTAATGGATGTGACTTGACAGTAAGTTGATTTTTGTTTGTAAGGGATTGTTTTGAAGCTGACCTCATTATTATTAACCTTGTGCAAGAAATCCTTAAACACAACATTTTTTGTTTTGTTGTGTATATTATCAGCATTAGGGTGTATGAGAACTTTAATGGAGTCTGGAGATGTGGCTCGAGATAAAGCAACATAAAGTTGACCATGTGTGAAAACCGGTTGAGGTAGGTAAACACCAATCTTCTTTAACGACTGACCCTGACTTTTGTTAATTGTCATAGCATAGCAAACCTTTACTGGAAACTGTTTTATGGTAAAAGTGAATGGTATGTCTGGAGCATTGTGGATAAATTTAATACGGGGTGTATATACTTGGTTCCCAATGCATGTTCCGGTAATGATAGTTGCAACCATTACATTTGGTAGCAAGTGAGATACCATTAACCGTGTTCCATTGCACAATCCTTCCCTCTGGTTAATGTTTCTTAACAACATGATGGGTGTGCCAATTTTGAGTGATACTTCATGAGGAGGTACGCTGGAAAAGTTTAATTGATTTAAATACTCAACTGGATAGAAAGCTTCAAATTCTGCAGATTGAATTCCGTTTGACATGATGGCATCAACACTTTTGTAACATTTTTTTTCTCCAGGAGCAACCTTCAGAATAACTTTGTTTATTTCATATGTGGTATCATTTTTAGGACAAACAATTGCCCTAGCCGATAGAGTGGAGGCAGATGGATGTTTCAAAATTCCGTCTCTGTAGACAAAATGTATTAACTTTTCCAATGCCTTGTCTCCTGGGGGTATAAGAAGTGAGGATGGGATATCAATCCATTTTGTGTCTTCATCATCAGTGGGATCTGGCTGGCCTATGTCTCCATCTCCAATATTGATTAACCAAGTTGCAAATTCCGAGATAGTGAAATCTGGCGTAGAACAGGAGTCATCATTTAGCAATCTCATATTACGTGTTAGTTTGTGTATTGTAAAACATGGCCATAGGTATGAATTTGGTAAAGTTAACCCTATGATTTGTGATCTGGTGCTTGGTAATGTCTGACGAAAATCACCACCTAACAAAACAGACAATCCACCAAAAACTTTGGTTTCACATTCTAGGATATCTTTCAATGAACGGTCTAAGTACTCAAAGCACCGCCTGTCACTCATTGGTGCTTCATCCCATATAAGAATTGATGTATTCTTAATTAGTTCTGCAAGTGACGTCCCTTTTCTAATGTTACATGTTGTCTTGTCAGTGAAGTCAATGGGTATATTAAACCTTGAGTGAGCTGTCCTGCCCGATGGTAGTAGTAATGAAGCTATACCTGAAGCAGCAACAGCGAGGCAAATTTTCCAATGGAACGAAATATGAAAGCAGTGCAGTCCAAAGGAAAGTTTTCCCAGTTCCACCGTGTCCATATACAAATATCAGAACTTGGTTTGCCTGCTCATCTGATGCAATAACGGTGTTGTAAATGCAAAGCTGGTCAGCATTTAGTTGTAAAACCATCTGCTCATTCTGATGTTTCAGTAACTCTTTGTCATAACTTGTTTCTTCCAAAAGAAGACGATTTTGCCAAAGTCTGATAGTGTCTTCCGTGGGTTTAGGCAAATGAAAATCTTGGACTGACTTTGATCGTGTACATGTCTGTAATATCTTTTCCATTTCAAATAAGACTAATTGTTGTAACTGAGAGTCAGTCATATTAAGTTTTATGTTGGGATTGTTTCTGTTTATGTTATATACTAAGTCATCGCTCATTTTGCGCCATTCAACCTCCTATAAAGATATTACCTCGCACAATAGAAGAAGTTGGCAGAATAAGGATCGTAGCTGAGGTGAGGTTGCCCATTTTGATGCTTGGGTGAATGCGGTCATCCACTCTTTGTTTTCACCAATTAATCCTAATGCCTCACATGCACTACGGAAGTCAGGGTAAAGTTGATTGGAGACAGTGCGAATGTCTCGATAAGATTTGCAACCTGTTTGATGACATAATAACATACGGAGGTAAAATAGCTCTCCAGCAAATGGGTGAATGAAGACATGTCTGCCGATTGCAGGTGACTCCGTGCGGTGTCGTTTTTTCCACATTTTTGCTCCTTTATCCCACCAATATTTTTTGATGGATAGTTGCTGTAGGTCAGGTTGTGGCCAGTTTTATCCCACTTGTTACTCTCAGACCATCCTAGTAACAAACTATTGCCAAATGATGGATGCCTGACAACATCACGGATGTGGGTGTTTTCTTTAAAATATACAGGCTGCATATTTGGTAGATGTACTGGTAGTATTGTTACAGGTGGGTGTCGCTCATGGATAGGGAAGTCAATGATACGCCAAGCAGCTTCATGAGGACATATGTAACGACCGTCAAGGTAACTACAAATTTCATCGATAACAACAGGTTCTGTTGATTTGCTACAACTGGTTGCATCGGCATCCTTGTGAATTACAAATTTCACTCGTTTTATTCCTTTGGAAACATACTTAATAATGTACTTAATCATCATGTTCCAACCACAGTACTCAACATTTATATGTGCGTTGAAACGACTACATAAGCGCTTATTGTATGGTACAACGTATCGATTGTCAATTTCAATTCCATTATGAAGTGTATGCAGAGCTACAAGACTTCTTTTATAATGTGCATATCCTTGCTTGTCAAACACTATTGAATCATGGAACGCCTTTGGATAAATTTTTTTGCACCTATTGTCTTTCATGCATGGAGCTTTAACATTAAGCAAACCACACGTACCATGAATCATGCAAGAAGTAATAGTCTGGTACAATAGTGGTTCAGAAACCGGGTTTGGCAGCTCTGCGGTGATGAATTTGTCGATGGAAGCAACATCACGTATTTTGTATGAATCGGCTACCCATAAAAGTGTGTGGCAGTGGGGAAAACCACGCTTTTGGAATTCGATTGTATACAAATCTAAAGAAATATAAAAAGGAACGCAGGGCTCATTAAAAAGATATGTAGCAGATAGTATAACAGTAAAAATGTAATTACAATAAAAGGTACTTACAGGCTGTGACGTCCCCAAAAGTTTTGTCCTCCTTCAGAAATGTAATCAACGCTTTCACCTTAACATGAAAAATACGAGATATAATGTCAGCCCTGCTGTGTGTGTCAGTTTGATTGTGATAGGCCATGTACCGTCTAATTTCAGGCCAGTTGACATTGCACGTGAAGGTTATAAAGTACTGTGGATTTCCATGCTCTCTGCAGATGGATGACGCGTCTTGATAATGGCTATACATGTAACAGGGTCCACCAACAAAGGAGGGCGGCAACAGAACCCGCTTCCCAATGGAACGACTTTCGTTGTCCCCTCTGGAAAGTGCGTCATAAATCCCACTGATGTATTCTGACCTGAGGCGATCCTGGTTATTTTGGAAATAGTCAAGACGCCCCTGTTCAATGTAGGTATAAGCATCGACTATATATCGTTGAAATAGCCTACATGAATTTAATATAAGGGAGTGGACACCATTACGTGCGTGGATCTGATAACTATAATACATATTTACCGTGAGATTTCTGGCTTTGGAGCTTGTTTCATTTAACAGTTTCAACCGCAGGGACCATCCATCTTCACCATAAGGAAAAAGTAAAGGGTATTGTAGCGCCATGTAGCTCGGGTGGAGCTTACTGACTTGTTGTGGAACACCAGACTTGGAATATATAATGATATCATACTTATTAGCAATAGTGTCATCACCGTAAACAATGCAACCTAGACTTCCGGGAGCGGGTGGACCATACCGTCGATGAGGAACATCATTAAAAAGGCAAACTGCATACGAGTCTAGACTACTTTCGGCAGCTATTTCTTGGGAAGTTTTGAAAGTACGAATATATTCATTATGAGTGGTCAATGTATCCATTAGCAACTGCACAATCCTTCCATCCAAGGGATGTTTTGAGCCATCCTGAAAAGATGACAATCTGTTGGAAACCTCATGTTCCGAGTCAACAACATAAAGCTGTAAAAACCTTGGGGGCTTTTTATCTTCAGGACATAAAGAACCTATCCAATGTGAGACCTGACCGGTGACTTTGAAAACATAAGGATCGCCACCCCTGTTAATGTCCTCATCAATTTCAGCCCCAAAGGATGTCATTGCAAACATGCTGTTATAAGCTCTGATATTTTGCCTAAAAGCTGGAACATCATATAAATCAGACAACACAACAGGAGGCCTTAAAGGAAACGATAGTATAACATCACCAGACTTACATCATCGGGTGTAACGTGGATGATTAACGTGAGATAACGAAATTACCCGCTCAACAAACCAAAAAAAGGCACCACAATATTCACACAACAACGAACAATCGCCACAGTCGTCATAAGAAGGTAAAGGCGAAGCCAAGTCAAGAGGAAGTAAGGGCATTAACCGGCGACACTTACGTTGATGACCAGAAACGTTTAATGAGGACGATGCATCTGAGTTGAAAGTGTAACGCTTTCTGCGCTGCCCACTCATGACGGACCGAAAACCGTACCCAAAATCCAAAATAACGAAACTGAAATTTATGAGTAGACAGAAGGAGCAGAAGATATTACGAAGGAGGAAGACAAACCTGCGAGGGAAATCGGTGACGAAGGCAGGAAGGGAAGAATGGAGGGCACGAAAGATGTCCAACAGCAGAAATCGAGGAGTAATAAGCAAAAATACGTATTGATATTGGCCAATAAATACTAAGGAAGAACATTAAAATCGTACGTACGGAGAGAAAGTGACGTACAAAAGCCCTTCAAAGTGGAAACGGATAAGAACCTGCAAAAGTAATAAAAGATATGCGGCACAATTAAAAAGAAAACGGAGCCTTGACCGGATCAAATTGCAGTGAATTTGGTTGACTTATTTTTAGGGAATTTACTCGACAGTAGGATAAAGGTTAAAGGGTATATTTTTTTGTAGGATAAGGATCAAATTGCAGTCACTTTAGTTGATTTACTTTTTTTATGTTAGAAGTTGTTTTTTGGTTTTTGGATATTGTTAGGATGTTGTAGACTTTTGGTTATAAGAGAAATAAATATGTATACAATAATTGATTGTAGTACCATAATTTTTATGATTATAATGAACATATTATAATATTTCGTTAAGTAAAAGAATTTTTGTGGGTAGTTTTAGTATTTTTACCATGTTTACAGAATTTTAGTATTTTTACCATGTTTATAAAATTTTAGTATTTTTTATAATTTCTTTTAGAACGGCTATAAATTATAATACTTCTAAAACTAAAAAGATGTTTGTGGATCGTTTTAGTATTTTTACCATGTTTATATATTACTATTTTACCATGTTTATAGAATCGTGATTGTCATTTTGTTAAAATATTTTGATTTTTTTAAATGGGGACAAAATTAGATCTTTGCACTGAAATAGGGAGAAAGTGGGATTATCTCAGATCCAAACATGTGAATTGCAAATTGCGTAGGGCCCAAGGCCATACCTTCCCGTAATCAAAGTGAATTTTTATTATGGGGATGAAAAGAAATTGTAAGGAAAATGTGGTTAGGGACGAATTTTGGAAAGATGAACAAAATCATGTGCCAAAAATCTAAGCACCACAAAGAATAATATTGATAACTTCAACAATGTTTTTTTTTATTTTATTTATGGGAATGAAAAGAAATTGTGAGGAAAATGTTGTAGACTTTTGCTTATAAGAGAAACAAATATGTATACATAATTGATGTAATACCATAATTTTTATGATTATAATGAACATATTATAATAATTATTTCGTTAAGTAAAAAGAATTTTTGTGGGTAGTTTTAGTATTTTTACCATGTTTATAGAATTTTAGTATTTTTACCATGTTTATAGAATTTTAGTATTTTTTTATAATTTTTTTTAGAATGACTATAAGTTATAATACTTCTATAACTAAAAAGATGTTTGTGGATCGTTTTAGTATTTTTACCATGTTTATAGAATCGTGATTGTCATTTTGTATATATATATATATATATATATATATATATATATATATATATATGGGGACAAAATTAGATCTTTGCACAGAAATAGGGAGAAAGTGGGATTATCTCAGATCCAAACATGTGAATTGCAAATTGCATAGGGCCAAGGCCATACAGTAACCAAAATGAATTTTTATTATGGAAATGAAAAGAAATTGTAAGGAAAATGTGGTTAGGGATGAATTTTGGAAAGATGAATAAAATCATGTGCCAAAAGCCTAAGCACCACAAAGAATAATATTGCTAACTTCAACAATGCTTTTTTTTTTAATTGGAATGAAAAGAAATTGTGAGGAAAATATTGTAGACTTTTGGTTATAAGAGAAAGAAATATGTATACATAATTGATGTAATACCATAATTTTTATGATTATAATGAAAATATTATAATATTTCGTTAAGTAAAAAGAATTTTTGTGGGTAGTTTTAGTATTTTTACCATGTTTACAGAATTTTAATATTTTTACCATGTTTATAAAATTTGTAGTATTTTTTTATAAATTTTTTTTAGAACCGCTATAAATTATAATACTTCTATAACTAAAAAGATGTTTGTGGATCGTTTTAGTATTTTTACCATGTTTATATATTACTATTTTTACCATGTTTATAGAATCGTGATTGTTATTTTGTTAAAATATATATATTTTTTTAAATGGGGACAAAATTAGATCTTTGCACTGAAATAGGGATAAAGTGAGATAATCTCAGATCCAAACATGTGAATTGCAAATTGCGTAGGGCCCAAGACCATACCTTCCCGTAACCAAAGTGAATTTTTATTATGGGATTGAAAAGAAATTGTAAGGAAAATATGGTTAGGGACGAATTTTGGAAAGATGAACAAAATCATGTGCCAAAAGCCTAAACACCACAAAGAATAATATTGCTAACTTCAACAATTTTATTTTATTATTTTATTATTTTTTAAATATTAGGAATGAAAAGGAATTGTGTGGAAAATGTGTTTAGGGGCGAATTTTGGAAAGGTAAACAAAATCGTGTGGCAAAAGCCTAAACACTACAAAGAATACTATTGCTAACTTCAACATGCTTTTATATATATATATTATATATATATATATATATATATATATATATATATATATATATATATATAGAGGAGGGTTCAATTGAGAAAAGAAAAGGTTGAGAATGGGGGAATCATTCTCAGTCAATCATTTAATGAGTTTAAAAAACGCACGGTGGCAAACTTGTAAATAATCCAAATACATTAATGAGTGGTGGCAAATTTGTAAATAATCCAAAAACATTAAACCGTCAGGGCACTTGAGTAATTTGATAACACATCAAATCTCGACAGAAAAGCACCATTTCCCTCTTCGATACACCATAACACGAAAACCATTTGCAGAAGAATCGATAAGAAGAAAACCATTTGCAGAAGCATCAAATAACATAAACGAAGAAAAATGTCTTCCGATGAAAACATGAACGAGACCATTTCCTCACTCTTGACAATGAAAGGTAACCATCGGCGTTTTTTCTCGAGTTTTTAACAATTTCGAATCATTTCTAAAATTATCACTTGATTACTTGAAATTTCTCGTAATCTTCGATAATTATTAGTTGATTTAAAACTAAAAACATTGTTTTCACACTGTTCATTCTTCAAAAAAGGTTGTTTACTTCAATTTTTAATGATACTCGTTCATTCTCGTAACCCTCCTTCGTTATTACTTTATTTACTTGAAATTTTTGTAAGAATCATCCATTATTAGTTGATATATAAATGATTTTACATCATCTCTTCATTTTTCATCTTTATTCAAAACTATTCTGTCAAAATACAAACGTTACTTCACATTTCGCTTATGTTTTCCTAATATTAACTACTTACCCTTACAGAAACACAACAACCAACAGTGAAGAATACATATAAACGAAAAACAAGAACAAATCAAAAAAGTAAATAAAATATGTTTTGTTTACTTCTGAACACAAGCAAAACTAATATTCAAATGTGAATATGTATGTTATATTCATATATGAATAGAACATAACTTGCTGCCATACATACATTATTCAAATGTGAATACAACAAGAATGACTTATATATGTTCTATTCACATATGAATATAACAAAACATATTCATATGAGAATAAAAAAATATGAATACATATGTTTTATTCAAATATTCATTCGTGAATATGTATGTTATATTCACATATGAATAGAACATAACTTGCTGTCATACATACATTATTCAAATGTGAATACAACAAGAATGACTTATGTATGTTCTATTCACATATGAATATAACAAAACATATTCATATGAGAATAAAAAAATATGAATACATATGTTTTTATTCAAATATTCATTCGTGAATATGTATGTTATATTCACATATGAATAGAACATAACTTGCTGCCATACATACATTATTCAAATGTGAATATAACAAAACATATTCATATGAGAATAAAAAAATATGAATACATATGTTTTATTCAAATATTCATTCGTGAATATGTATGTTATATTCACATATGAATAGAACATAACTTGCTGTCATACATACATTATTCAAATGTGAATACAACAAGAATGACTTATATATGTTCTATTCACATATGAATATAACAAAACATATTCATATGAGAATAAAAAATATGAATACATATGTTTTATTCAAATATTCATTCGTGAATATGTATGTTATATTCACATATGAATAGAACATAACTTGCTGCCATACATACATTATTCAAATGTGAATATAACAAAACATATTCATATGAGAATAAAAAATATGAATACATATGTTTTATTCAAATATTCATTCGTGAATATGTATGTTATATTCACATATGAATAGAACATAACTTGCTGCCATACATACATTATTCAAATGTGAATACAACAAGAATGACTTATATATGTTCTATTCACATATGAATATAACAAAACATATTCATATGAGAATAAAAAAATATGAATACATATGTTTTATTCAAATATTCATTCGTGAATATGTATGTTATATTCACATATGAATAGAACATAACTTGCTGTCATACATACATTATTCAAATGTGAATACAACAAGAATGACTTATATATGTTCTATTCACATATGAATATAACAAAACATATTCATATGAGAATAAAAAAATATGAATACATATGTTTTATTCAAATATTCATTCGTGAATATGTATGTTATATTCACATATGAATAGAACATAACTTGCTGCCATACATACATTATTCAAATGTGAATATAACAAAACATATTCATATGAGAATAAAAAAAATATGAATAGAGATGTTTTATTCAAATATTCATTCGTGAATATGTATGTTATATTCATATATGAATAGAACATAACTTGCTGCCATACATACATTATTCAAATGTGAATACAACAAGAATGACTTATATATGTTCTATTCACATATGAATATAACAAAACATATTCATATGTGAATAAAAAAATATGAATACATATGTTTTATTCAAATATTCATTCATGAATATCAAACTCATTTATCTTCTACTTACTATTGAATGAAGGTAATAACACTAACATTTCCGATAAAGATTCACCAACAATGAGAGAAACAAGATCAATGCAGAAAAATCAAAAAGGTATAAAATACATATCATATCTTATAAATGAATATTCTATATTCATTTATGAATATAATATATTTTCTTTGTAAAATGTATTTCAAAATTATTTATCTTCTACTCACTCTTTCATGAAGGTAAGAAGATTTGTATTTCTGATAAAGACCCCACAACTATGATAGAAACAGATTTGAAGAGGAAAAATGCGAAAGGTACAAAATTCCTATCATATCTAATATATTCATATATGAATAAAATTGTATATATTAGTTATATTTTTAATAAATAAATATTAATAAATCAACGAGCATATATCATATTCATATATCAGTAACTTATTCAAATATTATATGTTTTCATTTCCCAGATAAAAAAGAAACAAAAGTACCAGAGAAAATAAAGCAGAAAAAGCAGAAAAAGTCCATAAAAAAGGAAAACTCCTGAAAACAACAACTACAAGATTCAGACTCTGATTTTGAAAGTAGTCATCCATCGAAGAAGGCAAAAAAAAGGAGTCACCAATCAAAAAAGACAAAAAAAACCAATGGTAAAAGAATTTTACTCAATGAAAACAGATGTTCACCAGAGGCATTACTATCTATAATCCTTGGGATGAGCAAAGAACAAAATAAATCTGTAAGATCTATGGGTTTTGGAGCTTTGTTAAAAATGAAAATCACAGATATACCACTGAAGCTGGGATTTTATGTTCTTCAAAAATTTGATTATGAGAGAATGGTGATAGATATTGAAGGAAAGGAACTGAAAGTAACAGCAGAGTCTGTTCATGACATGTTGGGCATACCAATTGGTGGAACCAAACTTACACAACTGGATCAATGGCCTAAGGATGATACAAGTTATGATGAATGGAAGCAACAATTTAAAAAAGATTCAATCATCCGACTGAGTGCAATCAAAAATGTTATTGTTTCTACCACACAAGCTGATTTCAATTTCAAATTGAACTTCTTAGTTCTTTTTGTCAACACGTTTTGCGAGTCAACATCAATGGGAAGATGCAACCTGTTTCCCTTGAGTTATATTTCAAGAAAAACAGATATCAGCAACATAGACTGGTGCAGCTATGTTTTGGACTGTCTTTTCAGAACAAAAAACTCATACATACCATACTCAGATACCAACTTCTTTGTTGGACCTTTAGCTTTCTTGGTGGTAAGTTATTATAATGTTTATACTCAATTTTTAATAATATTGATTATTCATAAACTAATAGCAAATATTCATATATGAATAAGAAAAATATATTTGTTCACACGTAATGCTTTACATTACTTATTCATATATGAATAAGTAAAAAATAATATTACTTGTTCATATATGAATATCAATTAGTTATCATTTATGTGCAGTTGTTCTATGCTGATAACATCCACTCAGAAGCTTTAACAGTAACACATAAACGTCCAACAATTTGTTCTTGGAGTTCAAAGAAGATTAGATATCGAGAGACATTTGAACAAGAAAAAGGTAGATTTGGACTTGGAGAATTAAACGAAGAATTTGTTAATGAACAAGATGAAGGAGATACAGATCTCGAAGACAGTGATTCTGATAAAGATGAAGATCATTCTGTTGAGGTAATTAGTTTGAACATGTTAATAATATATGATTACATTAAATTCTAATCATATTTCTTTTTATTACATAGGCATATGAATCAAAAATATCTAAAATGCTTAATAGTTTCGAGAGGATGAAGGAAAAGCTGAATTCAAAGCTCAATGATGCGATAACAAAGTTCCCTGAAAAGGAAAGTTTTAGGATTTTCGAAGAAAAGATGACAAATATGATTGGTGAAGAAAAAAGAAGGCACAACTATTTTTGAATTTCCAAGTAATCAAACTGGATTTGAAGGAATCAATTTGACACCAATAATCGGTCAAAAAACAAATGATCAAAAAGAAAATGAAGATAAAGAGGGAAATGGTGAAGAAGACAATGATAATGATGGAAGTCAACCAGAAGAAGATTATTTGCTTGATTCAAATGAAGCAGAGAATGAAAGAATAAAGAATGATGGAGATAATAATAAAAAAGAAGGTGAAACTGAAGTAAAAGAGAAAGATGGAAAGAACAATCAAAATGACAATGATGAAGAGAAAAAAGCTGATGATAATGAAGAAACAATAATCATGAAGAGACTATTCAACAAACTGAAAATGAAAATTTGTTGGATAAAGTTGTTGACAACATTGTGGACAATGTCCTTGGAATTGGAATTTCAAGTTTAAATAGTCAAGAAGATGAAATCTGGAATCACCCTGAAATGAAAACTATTTTGGATAATATTGATATAGGTAAATTTTGTCTTACTTTTATTTTAAAAAAATATATAAAAATATTAATACACAATAACAATTTTGTTATTAAATTTTGACCAGGGTCACCAATGAGTACAGGTAAAACTAATACTCTTGCAGAAAAGGAAAATCAGAAGGTGTACATGAACAAGGAACAAAGTTGAAAAAACAAAGGGAGATGATACAGGTAAATGAATGATTTAAAATATATTACAATATTTATATTGATTTTTTTAATAACATTGTTTATTCATAAGTGAATAATACACTATATAAATGAATAAAAAATAAAAAATATTCATATATGATGTATATGTTTCAGGCAAGGAAAACTCTGAAGATAGAAATAAAGGAGGAACAGAAGCTAAGAACACGAAAGATGGAGGTGAAGATAAACATACAGAAACTGAGAAAGGAAATGCAGAAGATAAAGGTAAATAGTTGAATCACTAATAAATGAATATAATAAGTTTTATTATTCACAAATAAATAACGCAATATACAAAAAATAAAATTTTAATATTTCTTATTCATAAATAATGATATGCATTACTTATTCATAAATGAATACATTACTTATTCACATATGAATTACTTAATCAAAGTTCTTTATCTTTCGAGGAAAGAAAAAGTCAGAAAATGAAAACAAAAAGGAGAAAAAGCTGACAAGACAAAAGGAAATAAAGGAGGTAACAATTTGGATAAACATTTCAAAATATAAACTCAATATTATAATTAACTTACAACTATTTATATGATAAATCTCCTGGCATGCAGATACTCATCCAAGCTTTAGTCTAGGTCTCAGTCAAGATTCAGATCAAACTTCAAGTAAAAAATCTAATGAATCTTCACCAAAAAACCACTTACAAAGAAACAAATCAAAGACGACCATCAGAAGGTTGTTATCAGATTAGCAAAGAAAAATGTTCTTAATCCAAATCCAATCTCTGTATCAATTCCTACTGAAGTAGGACCATCAAAGCATGATCTGGATCAACCAAGAGAGAAGAAGCTTGCTGATGCTTTCAAATCACCTTTCAAATGCAGAATAACAGACACAAAACCCAAACTGACACATCAGGAGAGTATTGTCTGTGAATGGTTGTTCAACTTACAAGGCAATACATCGTAAGTAACTTTATTTTATATACATTCATATATGATTATTATATAGATAATAATCTATGACATTTTGATTATATATTTGCAGAGATGTGGTTGTCCAGACAAAATATGGTCAGATAACAGAAAGAGCAGTTATGGAAAGTCTATATGCAAACACAGAGATTTTTGGAGAAGTTTTAGACACTTGGTCTGATTTACTTAACCACCAAGAACTGGAAAGGGATTTTGGAAATTCACCATACAGACTCTTCTTGAAAGTTGGAGTTTCTGTAAGTTTATGTTCTAACCTTAATTCCTTCCTTATTGATAAATGAATACACCAATATGATGTATTCATTTATGAATATTATATTTTTTTTACAACTGAAATTCACATATGATTATACAAAATATGATGTATTCTTTAATATAATTATATATATTCAACTGAAATTCACATATGATTATATTGGTTACAGACTGCTTATCTAACTTCAACATTGTCCGATGAAAGAAAGTATGAAAAATTCAAGGAGAACTTTCATGACAGTACCAATGGGTACAAAAAAATCTTGAACATAAATATATTGACATGGTATGTTAATTAAAGTTGTTTTTTTTATAGATATTTTATCAACAAAATACTTACCATTATATACATAAAAACAGGTATTCTTTCCAGTTGTTAAAAGTGCTCACATTTTTGTGATTGTCTTCAACTTAAAGAAACCATCAATTGAAATTCTAGACAACAGTGCAGTTGAGGGGGATTATGAAGGGAAATACGGAGTACTATTGAAACCTTTGGTATGTACCCAATTCACAACAACATAAAAGAACCAATTTATTACATATCTAACTTTTATTTTATTTAATGATCAGAAAAATTTGTTTGTGAGATACTTTAAAGAAATAAACCATCCAAGAGCAAATGCAATCTCAAAAGAAAGTATCAAACCCCAACGACTTGAAATGACATGGAGAACAGTTAAAAACAAAGTTGATTGTGGGGTCTTTGCAATGAGACATATGGAGACCTATATGGGACAACCACTCTCAAAGTGGAAACCAGGTCTTCATAAGAAAGTGCAATTCAACAAACTACTTTAGAGAAGCTCAGGCAAAGGTATGCACACATAATGCTAACTTCTGAAATTAACATGTTGAAGGCTAAGGTGTTGGATCTTGCTGAAAAATATCAAAAAGTTGAATTCAAAGTGCGTACTGATCATGCATACAAGGCTATGCAAACAATTCAAAAAAGGTTAAAAGAATATTGATGATTGCTTGTGATGAAGTGTGATGCTATAGAACAGTTTGTGTTGAAGATGAATGAATTTGAAGTACATGTAAGATGATTCTGCGAAACAATTTTAGATGGTTTGTTAAATGTTCGTTTTTAATATTTTTGTGAAATGCTTATGAACAGCTTTTATTATCTTGTGTTGAATGATTATGTAATAGAAACAACTTCGCTTATTTCTGTCATTTTTTTATATTTAAATATTTTCAAAGTTTATTTATGTTTATTCATAAATGAATACGAATATGATATATTCATTTATGATTAAATTAGGAGTAATATGTCAGTATAACAAAGTTCATATATGAATATAACAAATTTCAGATATGAATATAACTAACTTATTAGTAGAAACAAGTTTGCTTATTTATGTCATTTTTTTATATTCAAATATTTTCAAAGTTTATTTTTATTTATTCATAAATGAATACGAATATGATATATTCATTTATGAATAAGTTCAAAGTAATATGTTAGTATAACAAAGTTCAGATATTAACATAAAAAAGTTCAGATATGAATATTACTTATTTATTAGTATAACAAATTTCACATATTTGTATTCATTTATGAATAATTTACAATATCAATAAACTTATTTTATAGTAATTTAAAAAACAAATATCAACATATCAATTTACCATATCAATATAAATGTGTATTATTCATACATGAATATTATTGGTTATTGTTTTTATCTGCATATATTCATAAATGAATAAAACCAAAAAACATAAAAACTAAAAAACTAAAAAATCCCTAACTGTCTTTTGCTGATTTAGCAGCTCCAACTCTTTCTGGACAAGTACGTAAATTGTGTGGAACTCGTTTTCCACATCCTGAACACATTCTATGTTCTTTTTTAGAATTTTCATATGCTACTTCACCTGCACTTGGAATTCTTTTCTTGATTCCAGAACCTTTATTGCTTTGAACTTTAGGAACATGAATATTAATCTCTTATGGAATAGGAATAGTAACACCAAAAATCTTGCATACGACTTCACCATCTGTCTTGCTTTTCAATCCAGGAGAAATATAATCACTCTCAAATTCCTTCAACAACATTTGTTGTTTCTCAGCAAACAAAGCCAATCTCTTTTTGTCATCTCTTACAATATCCAAACATGATTCAAAACTATAATATGAATCATTGACTAGCTTTACATTCTCACAATCACCTGAATCGGATTGAACAAAACTAAAACGATAATTTCTTGATATCACATCCTTTCTCCATCTTTTTAAAATGTACCTTTCAGGAATTTCTTTAACACCACATCTCATCATTATTGTAAAAGCATGTCTGCATAAAACACCCATACGCTTAAAATGTTCACAACTGCAATTTATTTCTTTCTCTTCAGCTTTTATTTCAACCTGATACAAAAACAAAATTTACACATTTACATTCATATAAGAATACTCATATCAACACTCATATATTCATATATTCATATTAATATTCATATATTCATATATGATATTGACATTCATATATGAATATTATTACATTTTTCATAAAAAACTAGTAAATTACCTTAAATTCATTTTTAAATTCGCTTTTACTGTTGTTGTGCGCACAATGTAAACTTCCCAACCATCTTCAATACCAACATATGAGTATGTACAGAAAAAACATGCTTTATATATTTCTTTTTGCACCTCAAAAAATAATGTACTTGTATAAACCTTTGATGCTTGCAGTTCTATTTCTCGAGGTGTTTGCATTTTATATGATGCTTTCTTTGATGCCTTATCAAGCTCTCGTTGAGTATTCCTTTGCTTTTGAATGACAGTGTCGTAATTCATCATGAAATTAAAAGTAAGTTCCCACTTTCTGAGTATGTATTAAAATGAATTCATACTCTCTGACCTCGATGTAGTCCTTCATCAAACCACATTGGAATATCACTAAAATATCCAGGTATCCATGAATCACGTATTGTAACATGTCTTTAAACCATCTTGTGTCTTCAAGATTGAATTCCTTCATAAGCAAACCCCACTTCACCTCAAAAACATCAGGTTTCATATTAATGTCCCAAACAAGCTTCGAAACCTTTTTCTAAAGTCTGTGTTCGTAATAAATCATCTGATATCTGTATTAAAACAAAAATATTCATAAATGAATAAATAATAATAAGTAAAATAACAATCAATATTCATAAATGAATATACTAATAAGTAATATTTGAAATATATTAAAATAATACCTTTTTTTCAACTTTTTCATTATATGCCACATACATAATCGGTGCTTTGAATTACGAAACACATTCTCAACAGCTTGTTTTATTGCAGCATCTTGATCGGTTAAAACAAGTGTGGTTCTTTCCCATGAGTTTTAAGAAATGCTTTAAGCAACCAAGAGTAAGACTCAATGCTTTCATTGCTTAGCAACCCAGATCCAACAGTAACCGATTTTTTATGATGGTCAATAGCAGTAAACGGAACAAAAACCATTCGATACCTAACACACAAAAAAATGTTCATTAAAGTCATTTTTGATGTATTAATA